CCTGGGGCTACTAACATTGAATTATTCTCGAGTTATATTTCACTTTTGGGGGTAATTTATACAGTAATATGTAAATATGCTCATTAGTTTATAACATTCTGTAAAAGTTATATAGTCACACTATAAGATGTAAATATTAGTTATAAAATTGGATGATATTGAAGAAAAAAAAACTTATTGGTAAGTGACTTTATATAAATGTACTTAGAGATAAATAATTTATTATTTTTATTGTAGTGTAAAATATTGTAAGCCAATTGTTATGTATAAATAAATATGTTTTCGAATGTTTAAAACAGAATCACTTAATAAATGTTTTTTTAGAACACAGCTGTTTGATAAAACAAAAAGTCTTTTTTGAGATAACCATCAATAGATGATTTATTTATATAATAAGATAAGAATTTGAGAAGCAAGAATCAATCAGTTTCTATTATTTTAATATATTACACTTTGTATTTACATTAGATTTATTACAGTATAAAATACAATCGATATTCTATTAATGGTGCCTATGAATGATTTATCAAATTAATATGATATAATGTTATTTCAGTTAATAACATTTTATATCATCTACATTATGAAAGTGAAAAGACTTTTGTCTATTCGAAGGACTGATTATTTGACAGTAATTATATATGAATAGAACGAAAAACACAATGAAATAGTTTCTCTCTGTTGTTATATATTGTCAATGATGTCATTAGGAGTGGGAACAATAAGTCAATTATTAATGATATAATCGTATGTCCTTGACAAGTTGGAAGTATTTAGATGAAATAACATAAGTTCGAATAAATACAAATTATAATTAAGAAAAAAGATCTAGATAATTATGTTTTTTTGGTATCTACCATCGTGAAATCGGAAATTTTTATCTTCGTATCCGGTTGAATACGACAAGGACGTTATACCAGGAAATTACGTATGACACTTAACCTTGGATGTCATTCAACATTATCCATTGGGAACAACTACAGAAAAATAGATAGCACTTCTTTTTTAATAAATCCTATTCAGAACATAAAATGATCATCGAGAGAGTTTAAATAAAAAAATTGTCCTTGGTCAAACTTGTTAAGTTCATATTATATAAGTATACATAATCTCTATAGATACATTTGTTTATTTATCACTTAAGATAAATTAATACAAGAGTCCTTAAAAATCTACTTGAAATATATTCACCAAAAAAAAGGAAAAAAAGAACGTTTTAATTTGTTAGAAATATTAAATATGATATGGTGCTGGAGCATAATCATCATATAACATTGTATTTTGACAGACACATATAGCAAGAAAAACACCAATTAACTAAATATAAAAATTATTAAAAATCAAATTTCATATTTTTTTTTGTTTTCTTACCGCTAAAACACATAAACTAAATTCAATTAGAAGAAAAAGTTTTCCCCAAAAGAATGTTGCTCTTGTTAAAATAGGCAAACATCCTGGTGTACCAGTTAAACCAACTTCATGAACTGTACATGATACTGTTGAAGTCATTGAACAGCAAGATAATGGAACATGAGAATCACTGTAATCGTAAGCTGTATCAACACCACAACAATGATACTAGAAAATAAATAAAGATGGAATCAGTACTTAAGATATCCTTGTTAAAAAAAACTGATTGACTCTTTTCTCATATTCCCATAAGGATGAATGCTCAAGGTTTATATAGAAAGAAAGACAGAAAGAAGGAGAAGGTTGCATCATGACTATTATTAAATGATTTATCTTGTCAATGATGATGATAGTATGAAACAAAGATAAATGAAACTTCATTCTATTTTTTGTATTGAAGACAACGATGGTAGAGGTTATCAATCCTAATTACCTTTTTACTTTTACAAGTCTAAACAATATATAGATTGTAATTTCAACATTGTGAACTTTGAAATCAAAGTACGCCAAGTGTTTACATCAATCATTTAATTGTTTCTTTTCCTTTTTTTTCTTTTTCTTTATCTTTACCTTGCTTTGAATATAGTCTATCGCTCTTTCGTATTGACTTGGATACATATGATTATATTTTTTCATTTGTGATACAAGACGTTGTTTTACAAGTGATTGTCCTTGCTCATAATGCATTGCAATAAATATAAATAAAGCTAATTCAACCAGAAGAATAGATGTTATCAAAACAATATACTAGAGAAAATATTCATTTTTATTTTTTTTTGAAAATATTTATGATGAAATAATGATAACTTACAAGTATGAGACAAGTACGTGATTCTCGTTTTGCACCACAATATCCAAATAGTCCGATAAGAAAAATAATTATGCCAAAGAGTATAATAATACAAGCTAATATTTCAATGGATGATAGTGGTAAATTAGTAAAATTAAATAGATGAATTATTTGTTGTACTTCAGGACGTAAAAGACAATAAATACCAAAAAAAATTAAAACAATACCACTTAGCTAAAAATATAACATTTGTATTTTCTATATATATATATATCGATGAATATTGAACTTTTTATTACATACCCAGAAGAAAAGATTCAGTACTAAGAGAAGATATTTAGCACAAGGATAACAAGTAGCTATACCCATCGTTATATGTATATAATTACTGCATCGTTATTTTTATACCATAAATATTGAAGAATAAAGATAAACGTTAATTTTTGTTTTTTTCAATAATAGTTTTATTCGTTCTTTAATACATATATATATATATTCGTTGTTAAATAAGCTTGAATTCCACAATAGAATAGTATTTGTGGTTATCGATAGAGTGAATAAATGTTTTTAGAGCAAGAGAGAAAAGTAATTTGAGGAGTAACGTTGAGAGAGAAAAAACGATGCATAGAAAAGAAAAATAAGCATAGAAAAGAAAGAGAAAGAGGAGAAGAAGAAGAAGCAGAGGAAAGAGAATGAATCATTATTTTTTGTTTCTATTACTGATGAACAACAGAACATTAGAATAATTCTTTTTTTGGGTTATGAGATAATAGTTGACATATATATAATAAGATAGTATGTTCTTTTTTTTTCCTATCTTAAACAAAGACGAGTCGATGAAATAGAGAAGATAATCATGTTAATATATGATACAAAACATTACTTCAATCATAGTTTGAAATGTATTTCATTTTTACATTTTTAAAACTAAATCTCATATTACAATTGAATGATAAAATGAAAGAAGCCGACACATGCAATTTATTTGTTAGAATACTCGTATATCATTTATCGATTAGATTTATTGTACTAATCTATTTGAATATTTAATTTATGCATTGGTTTCAAATGATAAAATGAACGAAGAAGAAGAAGCATAAGAAGAAAATAATTGTTATCCTCATTTTGCTTTATGCATTCATTCAATCCATTTTCTTTTCATTTGATATTATTCGAGATTGTTATCATAATTTTCTAAGCGAATAAATCGAATCGAAGATAAAACTTGTTGTTTTTCGAATTAAAAATATGATGCTTATCTTTCTACAGTCCGTTGTATAGACGGCTACCTTGCACATATACACAATAACGAAGTATATTAGAAAAAAAAAGAAAAGATGTATGGTCTTTTGATCATTGAATGCTATGGTATGTTTGAATGATGATTACCTTTATGATTGATATCGTAGTGTGAAATATTTGTTGCTTTTGTGTCTCAAAAATGAATATGCATATATAGATAGTGAAGGTTAAAATATTCTTTCGCTATTTGTTTTTTGTGTCTATTCTTTACCATGTAAGTTTATAAGACATGAACAGGTACAAAGGAAATATATTTTTTATTATTCGGAAACTTTCAATGAATATTGGTACACATTAAAAACATAATGGCAATAATCTAAATATAAAGAATTTCTAGTCTCAATTGACGTCATTCTTATTATTTTTATATTTTGATTAATCATTATTAAGGAAATCAAGTATAAATATTATGCTCAATCGGATGTTATTATTAGTATTAAGGGTTCATTTAATCATGTATGAATATTGTTCATTTGATCTATATAAATGTTACAGTAATATAAAAAAAAATCAGTACACATCATAAAATCAAAAATTATCGATTCACGTCGTATATTTCTCACGTATAATTAAAATTATTACCAGGCAAGTTTCATTACATAATACGATAAGGTTATTACTATCGATAACGACCTTTCTGTAGTCAATGTAGTTTTTTTTCCTAGTAGCAATCGTACTGAAAAAAGATCTATTACTTATATAGATAAAATATTTTTAACATAACATATTTAATTATTATTCTTTTTTATCTTCTAATTATTTGTAATGTAGCGAAATGACGACTGTTTTAAAATTTTAATTACAGAAAATAATTTAATATCATTTTATTATTAAAACATCCAATTTTTATAAATTATTTTGTCAGAATAAATCATAGAATATGATTGATGATTGAATAAAAAAATATATTTTCAGAAGTTTATGATATCTGTCGTTAATTCAATAATTTTAAAAGAATTTTCATGATAATTAATCTTATAAGCAAATATTTTCAAGAGAAAGAAAAATAGAAAACGACGGCGACTGTTAATGCCATTTGGTACGTTTAATACAAATATGAAGTATCATGTTATTATTTGTGAATTGACTATGAACTAAAGAATCTCTTTTTTTTTTTGAAACAAAAAGAAAGACGTTAATTTTTTACATGTTGTTGAATAATCAGTTACACTGAGAATATCAAAAGAGACAGAAAAAAATAAGAAACTATTAATTGAAGAATACTTTATGTCGTGTCGAGAAATCTGAAAAAAATTTTCTTCTCTAGTTTCTATCAAATACAGACATAGGGTAAGTTCACGTAAAAAGCTCAGCAAAAATGACATTCTCTATCATATATATATATGCTAAATCTACATAATTATCCGATAGAAATATTAGATTTTCTTAATCTACGATTCAGTCTATTTTCTTAGACGAATATAATTGTTTTTATTCTAGTATTTAGATTGAAGCTCGTCTATTTTATTCCAGCTACATATTAATCATCATGGTTTCCATGTATAGCTACAGTCTTCTTGGTTTTATTTTATTCTTTATTATTGTCATTCAAGCAAAACCTTTGCCTGAATCATCATCATCATCATCAGATAATTCTGACGACAATAAATCGGCAAAAACTAATGATCAACTTTATGAAATTTATAAAAAAATGCGTGTAGATCCACGTCTTGCAATGGTATCAAACAAAGATCTTCTATTATATATTCATAAAAATTTTGCCCAAGGTAATCATAATATGGATTCGAACAAAGAGAAACATTTACATCAACAACAACAACAGCAACAGCAACAAAAAGAAACAAACTAACAATTAACTTTATAAATATTTATACATTCGAGTTGAATATAGTATTAAAATAAAATCAAAGTTCAGCATTATTAATGAAATATTTTATTTTTCCAAGTAAAACACAATATAGGAATGGGAGACTAATAAAACTATAGAATGATGGCATATATGATTGATTGAAGGTTGATGTATATTCAAAGGTCAGTCATATTAAGTTGGAGTAGATGATGTTGAGTGTAAGAAAGTTTATGTCTTTTATTTCCTAGATGTAGTATAGTTTGTTCTTAATTGAGAACTATTCGAATGGTAACGAATAACATGAATAAATTTATTCTTGGATAGCATATTGTCGATAGAAATATCTAACATTTCTTGGTAATTCCAAGACTGAATTGCTTTTATTTTAGATATAGATGAATCAAATGTTGTCAAGTATTTTAAAATTTGATTCAGTTATTATTTAGTTCGATAATAAATCAATTATAATTTACGATTAGTTACCATTTTCTTTTAGTTCTTTACATCTTTCTTCTATTTTTTTTCGTGTGGCTATCCTTATGAGGAAGCAGATAAGTTAGAACAATTGTAAAAGACTTTGGGTCTATGATCTATTTAAACTGAGATATTGAACTCTAATCTTTTATTGCAATAATTATGAAAGCAAAAATGTTCTGTTATCTGAAAATTTTCTCTTCCTAAGTAATTGTTTTTATTTAAAAATAATAATATTCATAAAATCAAGAATCGAAATTAAATAAATTACTATATACGAGTCTACGGTCTTTTTTCTAATACATACGAATTTTACAGGTATTAACATGCAATTAAAATATCATTCCCTGCCTCGCGCATAGCTGCCATTGTTTACTACAACATGTTTGAGCATATAACTGAAATCTTGCTCATATGGTATCTAACAAATCGAAATCTTTTACTCATATATTAATATAAACATGCCAGACTTTTTATTGAATTTCGGATGAACTAAAGAGATTTTGGGGGTTTTAGAACTGTTTAACTTAATATTACTTATATGTTTTAAAGGTTTCTCTGAGCTTTCCGTATCAAAAGTAAAAAATAAGAACATGCGCAAGATCCGCACGTTGCCAAAATTTAGATACCATATTTGATTTTACTTAATATCACCATACAAAACACATAAGAAGTCAGGTTTGGCTAATCTATAAATAAAGAATTTAGTTTCAGAAACTATTGTTAATTATTGGTGACTAATATGGAAAAATCAAAGTAATAAAACGTTCTTTCTTCAAGCATAACTATCATAAAAATTCGTTAAGTAGATGGTTTATTTTTTTCGGCTATTACATTTAAAATTGTGTAGTTTGGTTATATTTTGTCTTGATGACATAATAATCATTGTGAAGTTAGTTGAATATTGTTTATGAGTAACTCTCTTTAGATGAATCGAAGTTGCAACACTATAGTGCAATGTTTTTCATCTCTACCTATTATCTCGACGTTATTTTAAAAGAGCTTCTGTTTGCATATGTTATCAACAAAAGAAAGGGTGACGTACATGTCTCTGTTCTTTGATAACGATTGTGAAAGATAAAATGAATTTATGCTGGTTTTTTCTTTTGCTTGGTTGATAATAAAATAAATATAAAGTCACTTTTGCTTCTTTTTCTCACAAGAAAGAGAAAAAACAAAATTACAGAATATTATCGAAATATTCAAGATTAAAGAACATCTACTGAAGTGGTTATTTTCGAAAAAATGTATGTACTTTTGAATTATTAAAGAAAAATACTAGTTGGGCTTGCACTGGAATGTTTTCTTGTCGAACAAGCCTAAACTCATGAGGTAAACTTTCTCTCGTCTTTGAGGAGTTTCTTTTATCATTGCACGATGTTAAACAGTGTTATTTCGATATTCTTTTTACATATACCAAGTATTATAAGAGAAAATTAGATTAGAAATATGTTTTCTCATGATATTATTTCACAATTTTGCTACTACTAATATTAGTGAAAAATAAGATCATATATTTTGTCTTTACTTCGACAATTTCAGATTGATAATCTTTTTGTTTCCTATATATTTCTGAGCCTCGATATCGATCTATTCTTTTTAACTATCATAATACATAAGGTAAACTGATTCTCTACTTTGATCAATGTTCATAAATGACATTTCATTGTATTATACTCATAGAAATGGCAAAATCAAACCAATGTTCTACTTGTCAAAAGTCAGCAGGAGTGATGTATTGCATAGGGTGTGATGGTTACTTCTGCACAAGGGATTTCAAACGTCATCGTGAAATATTATCTACTGACATGGAAGAACTCGTTGAAGAGCGAAATAAACTACAAGAGAAAATCAACATGGCAACAAAATCAAACAACTCAATCAATCCACTAATTGAAGAAATCAATGAATGGGAGAAGACTACAATTGAAAAAGTGCGACAAACAGCTGAATATGTGCGTCAGCAAGCTAATCAGCTCATGAGTTCAAAATCTGTGGAAATTACAAATGAATTCAAAGGCTTCTCAGATGAATTAGCTGATTTGAAAGAAACTGAGGATTATATTGAACAGGATTTAAGAAGACTTAAACAAAAGATTCATCAATTTAATACAGACTTAACTCAACTTTCGCAAGGAACTAGACTTGAGCTGAATAGAGAAGAAAGTGAAAAAATAAACTGGAATCATATTATCTACGTTCAAGAAAAATCTGTCGAAGTTGGACGTCAACAAGCACCAACAATAGTGGCATGTATGTTTCAGACGTCCAATTTGAATAAATTTTTAGTATGATATTTCCCAGAAACATTGGCTCGACGTGCAGAGAGTGTAAGTCATAGATCGTGCAATGATAATAAAACTGGCAAGATGCTTTAGTTGATCATCTAAAATATAAATTAGAAAATGGTTAAGATTCATATATATTACAGAAGAAATTAAAATTCTTTTCTTTTTTATGGTTTTTGTAAGAAGAATTCAATATTGTAGCTCCCCCAGGAAAAATTTAAAATTTTAATTTTCCCGACAGGAGAATTTTAAATTTTCCTAAATAGCAATAAAACATCGTTGATTCTATTTCCACTTACGAAAATTAAAATAAACAACTGTATGATTGTATGTTCTGGTGCGGATGTGAGTGAGGATGTAGTTGAGACGTAAATGTAGATAGAAATCGGAGCTGGTGCAGGTGAAGAAGAGACACCCACACCCACACCCACACCCTCAAGATATTATGCTTGCTAAGTTTTAATAATTAATACACATTTTCATTTAGGAAGTGCACGAACAACAGCATTATTTTCTGAAATGGAACTTTTTTGTGGCGGCCGAGCTTGTGGACGTTGTGGTAAATGTTCTGATTGGTCTTTTGACAATAATACGATAGATTATGCCCGTCATGATGGTCGCGCTTGCAATCGTGCTTCTTTTGACGCTGATCTTCATATCTGCAATTGCAAGTACCCTGCAAAAGATGAAGACTGAGGATTGTAGTCCGTTCATTTGGTAGATTCAATATTATGATATTTATTGTGTTTTATTGCAAAAATAAAGAACATATTTTAGAGAGCGTGCTTTTAATATCTAGACAAGTCAACATTTGTAACGAGAAGAAAGAAAAGAATAGTTTTTCGATAGCGTTTGGTTGTAGTAATTGTGACTACTTGCCAAACGGAAAACTATATCGTGTAAAAATTAATGTATAATAACAATGTTTGAGCTTAAATTGATGGTTGTAGCTTTGAAAAAGAAACGCAACGTGTCAATCTGTATTAAAAAAGTCGTGCAGTTTTATACTGCTGCTCGTTGAAACCTGAAGGAGTGTTTGAAACCCAAAATAATAGAAATAGCTGGTGAATTTCAGAATAGCTATATAAATAGACAAGGATATATTATTTATCGATCGTATGCTATACTCTTGTATTCACCACAACGAAGAAATGCAGCAATTCTTGAGTTTTCAAACACAATTACCAAAAATTCGTTTGTAGCTAATGTACAACTTAGTACTTTGCATCTGTTCGTTCTTCAACGTTGGCTATTACATAAAACGACTCCTTATCTTATCTTCGAAAGCATTCATTGATCACAGTGTTCTGAAACGAAATAATTCATAAAAAGACATCTTTAATAAATTTATCAGAAAATATCTTTATTTGGCATTGCCTTAAGTGAATATGATTTGTACAATTTGATTCTGAAGATGTAAAGTATGATATTTTGTATAAGTTTCGTAAGCTTAATGTTGTGAACAACTTCACTTCACTTCACTCCATGATTTATATATATCAAACTTGATCAGTCTTATACAGTCACAGTCACTTCGATTTTCTTGATCAATTACTATGAATTTAACAAAACTGTCTACTAAATACCATGGCTACCATTTAATTGGTCACCAGTAAATTAAATGGATTTCGTTCTGTAGCTTGGATATCTCTCAAACGGGTGGATGTGTGACTGTATCCTACTCACATCTCCATCGACACTCTTAAAATATAACTGCTCAGCTTTTCTTAAAAACTAGATATGTAAGCAAGTTTTCGCTGCGACTATATGATTAAAATATTACAAACCACGACCACTAGCAAAGACAGTTCTAATTTCGAAAAAGAGAAAACGCAGTCGACCAGCAAAAGCTAAGCCAGCTATATTGATACAATAATTTAATGTTCGTTCACTTTATCAGCACTAAGTCATAAATTCCTTAGTATTTTTTCTATTAAAATATATTTTCATAATTAATTTATCAATAATTACTACTAGGAAATAATAATAGAAAATTTCAAATATAAAAGGAATCAATTTCGATTAATCATTTTTTGGTAACAAATGAGATGAATCAACTTTAATCTTTTTTATTGTAGGAAACAAGACCAATAAGAAGAAATATTAAAAACAGAAATTGTATATTTATAACAGAATTTCTTTCTTTTCTATTGAAGACTATCGATGTGGAAGCAATTGCAATTTCATGTCGATAATACCAGTTGACAGAACTAATTGAAACTACTTCGTCTTCTTCAAGGAAAAAATGAATGGCTTTATATTAAATACGAACTTATAACTACGATCTCTGATTCATTTTATGCGCATACGTAAAAAGTACAATTTGTTATGTACCATTATAATAGTAGAAGAAAAAACAATTAACCATATTTTTTTACATTCGATAATAATCAACGCATGATATTTATACTGTGTACATATAAATGACACATAAAGTAAAGAGAACTATTACCTTTTTTCTCAGGGCTCCCATTGTAAGTGCATAAAATATACATAAGAACTATTAGAAGAAAAAAATGTTCTTTACTTTTATTTTTTTTTCTTTTCTTCACTCGTATAATGTGTCGTCGATTACTATTAACTGTTATTTTTTCCTTATTTTTTGTGACTATTTTATCAATTCGATGTTATACAGGCACTGATAGACAATGTATGTTAGCACCACATATGAAAGATTGTGGCTCCGATGAAATATGTCAATGTGCAAAATATCGTTTTCAATGTACAACAGATGATCAAGCTTGTAATGAATATGAACAATTAGTAAAAACTAAAAAATGGGGATATACAATTTTACGTAAAAGTACATGTGAAATGTTACAACAACAATCATCAAGCGGTTATGATAATGTAACATGTTGTTCAAACGATGGATGTAATCGACCTGATCATGGTAAATGTGCATGGTCTCAATCTCGTCGTCATGCTTCACGTAAACTTACTAATTTACTTGATTTTGGATAATCAATATGATTAATAAAATATAATGTAATGTAATGATACCGTCTTTTTATTTATTTATTTAATTAAATGTCATATTTCTTACGAATAACAGATACTTTTTATTAATAAAAATATTTTTAATACACATAATGTTGCAACTATCAAGCAAATATTATAAACAGTTTCTGATTGAAATATTTTGAAACGTAGCAAAGAGACAGATAAATTTTAAAGTAACACGTTATTTTTTTTATCTGAATGATATGTTAGTAGACAACACAATGTGTTGCTGTGATAATGGCTTATTCGACATCTTTGTCTTATCTCAAGGTGTGTAAGTAAAATTAATATTTTTTCATTAGATATCAACAGTCGCGTTAACTATGCGTTTATTTTTTATACTACTACTTTTAAATTTAATATTGTGGATAGATGGTCAATCAGGAAACTTTCCTGATTGTAAATCAGGCCCATTATCATTTTTTCCTATTTGTAATCAATCATTACCATCTCGAGAACGAGCAGCTGATTTAATAAGTCGTATGACAACAATAGAAAAAATTTCTCAAACAATTACAACAGCCGATAGTATTCCTCGTCTTGGTCTACCTAAATATGAATGGTGGTCAGAAGCATTACATGGTCTTGCTTTTTCTCCAGGTGTATTTTTTGGTGGTGATCTACCTTCAGCTAGTTCATTTCCAATGCCAATTAATCTTGGTGCAACATTTAATATGAATCTTGTACATCGTATAGCAAGTATAATTTCAACTGAAGCACGTGCTTTTAATAATGATGGTCGAGCCGGTCTTACATTTTTTACACCAAATATTAATATTTTTCGAGATCCACGATGGGGACGAGGACAAGAAACACCTGGTGAAGATCCATTTCTAACATCTCAATATGTCTATGCACTTATACAAGGTTTACAACGTGGTCATGATGAACGATATTTAAAAATAGCTGCTAATTGTAAACATTTTGATGCATATGATTTAGAAAATTGGAATGGAACAGATCGACATCATTTTAATGCTAAAGTAACTGATCAAGATTTAGTTGAAACATATTTACCATCATTTAAAAGTTGTATTAAAGATGCACAAGTAGCTAGTATTATGTGTAGTTATAATTCAATAAATGGAATACCAGCTTGTGCTCATAAATTTTTATTAGAAACAATTGCAAGGTATAAAATATATTAGAATGATTAAAAATTAATCAGAAAAAAAATTTATTTTAGAGAATCGTTTCACCTAAATGGTTTTGTTGTTAGTGATTGTAATGCTATTTCGGATATTTTACATGCACATCGTTATACATCATCAGTTGAAGATACCGTTGCTGTAGCTTTACATGCTGGTACTGATCTTGAATGTGGAGTTTTCTATTTATTTCATATGAATACAGCATTGAATAGAAAAAAAATTGTTGAAGCTGATATTGATCAAGCATTAATGCGTACATTTGATGTTCTTATTCGTCTTGGTTGGTTTGATCCACCAGAACAACAAATTTATCGAAAATTAAATAAGAATAATGTTGATACATTAGAAGCAAGACAATTATCACTTATAAGTGCACAAGAAAGTATTGTTTTATTGAAGAATATTAATAAAATATTACCATTAAATCTAAATCAATTAATGAATAAAAAAATTGCATTAATTGGACCAACAGCTGATGCAACAGTAACAATGCAAGGCATTTATCATGGACGAGCACCATTTCTTATTGATCCTATTACAGGATTTAAAAATGTAACTGCAGGTTTGAAGAAAAAGAAAAGAAAATGTTTGAATTTATTTTATTTGAAATTTCTTATAATCATTAGGAAATTTTATTGATATTCAGTATGCTCGTGGATGTGGAATATCAAGTCATAATGAGAAAGATTTTGCTGCTGCAATTAAATTAGCTCAATCATCTGATATTGTATTTTTCTTTGGTGGAATTGATAATACAATTGAACGAGAAGGAACTGATCGTAAAACAATTACTTTACCTGATGTACAACTTGCGTTAATACAACAATTAGAAAAAGTTAGTCGTTCACCACTTCATGTTGTAATTATGTCAGGTGGTGGAATTGATCTATCATATATTCGAAATTCAACACAATGTGGAAGTCTTATTTGGATGGGTTATCCTGGACAATCAGGTGGATTAGCAGTTGCAACGGTTGTATTTGGTCAATATAATCCAGCTGGTCGTTTACCTGTAACACTTTATCCAGCATCATATGTTAATGCTGTAAGTATGTTTGATATGCAAATGCGACCATCATCAACTAATCCTGGTCGAACATATAAATTTTATACGGGTCAACCAGTCTATGAATTTGGATATGGTTTATCTTATACTACATTTAATTATACATATAATAATAATACATTCAAATCTTTTGTTTCTATGCAATCATTATTAAAGAATATTGAAAAAGAAGATCATACAATTATTTCTTCAATACGTATTAATGTAACAAATACAGGAGATATGGATGGTGATGATGTTGTTTTAGCTTATGTTACACCACCGACTATAAACAATGGTTCAATTGTACCGTTTAAACAATTATTTGGTTTTGAACGTATTCATTTAAAACAAAATGAAACAAAAGAAGTCTTTTTTCCTTTTACTATAGCAGCCGCTTTAACTATTGCAGAAAATGCATCTAAATGGATTCATCCTGGTTTGTATCATATTATCATTGGACAACAACGAATGTTTTCAATTACATTAGAAGGAGAATCAATTCAATGGGCTTAATATTATTTTAAACGAAATTTTTTTATATATATTATTCATTGGAGCTTAATAAATGAAAGAAAAAAAATATTAATATGAATATATAACCATACAAATGTCTTAAAATTTTCTAATTAAATAAATTTTCCTTGTACAATTCTATATGAAATACTAAGATATAATTGTTAATAGGTTATATATAGTCAGATAACATGGTAACACCAGATAATAATCATAAAAATGAAATAATTGTTTTTTTTTAGTATAATATATCATACAAGTTACCTGGACCTTTTTCATTTATATATACATTAACTATATTAAGTATTTATTTAGATTTTCATTGTCTCATTGAACACCATCTGGATGATATTCCCACCAAAAAATAAACTCATAATTTGTTTAATGTATGGAGAATATGCATATTCACTTCTCGTAGCTATTATCGTAAACATTTCATTTATTATCATGAAAAGAAGAGGCAATCTATTGATACACATCGCATTTAATAAAAATAATCTATTTAATTATCCGATGATTCATTGTTTCTTTATTGAAATATAAATCAAACAATTCATAATGTTAATTTAAATTTATTTGAAGTAAAATAAAGATATGTTATACAATAAAAAGTTTCATGTCTTTATTCTTGTAATAATTAATTAGCGTGATGAAAATAGGCAACTTTGGTTTTTTTATCCAGCATGAATGCACGTTTCTGGCGCTTTCCTTGTTTTTGATCAGTTTTGACTTGATTTTCTTGAGTAAAATGTGCTGTTGAAGGAGAAGTTCTTTGATGATGTCCCTCATGAGGTTGTTGACTTGTATCCTTGCCTTGTTCATTATGAACCCAACGATTTGCTCGCGATGCATTGTCATTAACTAAATGATTTGGTCTTGATGAGTGTTGCCAAGCTGGTGGTTGACTTGCTCTTGATCGGCGGTATCTAGCTACTGGTAGACTTGTTCTTAATTGCATATTCTTAACTGATGGTAGCCTGTTTTGTGATGACCGTGGTGGTGCCGCTGAAAGTACTACAGTAGTGAGAACCAACTAGAATAGAATAATAGATCAAACTAAACTCAAAAGAAAAGCGTTTACCACGGATAATATAACAATCGATTGCATGTTTATAAGTGCCAGAATTCTTTTTTTTTGTCGATAATAATGTTTTCTTCTTCATAAAAATACTACCCTTTTATACTTCTCGAGTTCATATAAACAACAGCCATTATTCGCGACTCCGCTAGCCATATGTTTATTTATCAATGCACTTTTTTCTGTGTTTGACCTATCGAATAAAAAAGTATTTTTTCCATAGATTTTACTCTAGCTACTATTTAAAAAGTGCGTAGTTAGTATTATTAAGTTATTTTTAGGGTTGCTAACATATGGTTAATTCATAGAACTAAGTTTCTCAATAGATCAGGAAAAATACATTCGTGACAAAATTATAATATACCAATCTTCATTTTCCTTCTTGATTCTTTGCGATTAAACTATACATACAAATAAAACATACAGAAAAAATGAAACCATGTTTTCATTGATAATGGCGTTTTTTTTTATAAACTTAATGGATCTTTTAACTATACCGAATTAATGGTATAGATTCTAAATAATACTCAAAGTATATTCACATACTTTAGAAAAAATAATTTTTAATATACTAACAATTATATATTTGGAATAGTAATGAATATTATTATTTCTATTCATATTAAAACGAAACTGATTCAAACGTACCAATAAGGATTTAGTCTTGTTGTCTGTACTATTTAAGTTTATGCTTTCTTGTCTCTCACAGTTGCATGGCATAGAGGTATATAGATTCTTATTCTATTCAATTATGGTAATAACTATATCACAGATTCCTTTATATTAAATTAAATATATCGTTTAACACTATTTCCTTTCTACGATGAAGACATTGAATAATGAATTATCATAAATAGAAATCAATCAAAAGTATTGCAATATAAAAATTATTAATCATACTAACAGAAGATTCACACTTGTTTTTCTAATATAATTTTATATTTTAAGTGAGAGTAAAATGGATAAGAACAAAAAAAAGACTTTTTACGCATTTTAATCTCACCTACGCTTTTCAATTATCTTTTAACTGTATGAACTATAGACAGATTGAATGCAAATCTAATGTATTTGAGTGAAATTTAAATGAGTAGAATAATATGAAATTGATTTCTAAATATTTCGCCTGTTGAAGAATAATACAATAGGTATTTTATTGCCGTTTCAACAAGTACAGCCTTGAACGATGCATGAAGTTCCTATTTGAGAAGGTTGATCTTTATATATAAATTGATGAATATCTCAATTATGATTATATACAAGACTAAACTACGTAGGATCAAAGAAGAAAACGGAATACGCTAGAAAAAACTCAAATTTTGCGTAACGATTAGATGTTATAACAGTCAATTAGTAGAATATCTATACATTTATGTGTAATTGTTCATTTTCAAAGTGTTACATTAACTGTAATATTATAATATATATATCAACGTGATATTTCTAGTTAAATGAACAAGAATCTCTTATCTTTAATATTGTTCATTGATATAAATTAACATATTCATCATTTCTTGAGTAAACTTAGTTTTATGCGTAGGATACAATCAACATATATATTCATTCACAGTACCCAAACTATTGACTTCATCTACATATATATATACAGTGCCAAAGAAAAAAAGTGCTTCATTACTTTCCAATCTTATCTCTACTAAATAACATAAATATTTACAACTGACTATGAATTATTTGTATCGATTTCTGTTTATTCTATTAACTTTTATTCTTTATTTCGAATCAACTATGGTATATATAAATATATTTATTGATTGATAATTCAATTTTTTTTTCTTTAATATATATATAGGCTTACCCAACATCATATGCACCAATACATCGTGGTTTTCTACTATGTCATATGTCACCAGTTTCATGTAAACGTAGTATATCCGATATGGAAGAAATCAAAGAACCATCGATGGCAACTATTGGTGATTATCTTCAAGCATGTGTTTCTTCTGGGAATTCTATGCAATATTGTCTTGATCAACGATTATATCGTGGAGATGAACGAATTAAATAAAGTTGTCATTTATTGATATCTTTATTTTGTAAACACAAGACATAGTTAAAAATAAATATATACTTTATGTCTAAACTAATTTGAATGTAAAAAATAAATATATATATGAAAGAAGATCGTTTTTTTAACAAAAATCATATAAGACATTACACCTGCTATATCTATGCATTTGTGACTGAAGATTTATTAGTAGATTTAATTCATACTTTCTCCATATAAAAGCAGTGGAAAAAAGATAATTTCTTCGCATATGTCTACGGTCATAAGAAGAAGTCAAAAACTGAAAATAATTTTGACAAGCAAGTAAATAATAGATATATGTTGATAGTCATCCATTTTATTTCTGCTTGTCTTAACATGTATATATTTAATAATATTTAAGTATGTTTATTTTTCGTTCTATCATTTCTCTTTGATATGTATGCCTTTAGATGAAGTGAAGCATCTTTCTATAAACGGAAATAATTTTCCTGTCAGCCAATTCTATTGTTCAAAACTAACATTCCGAGTTCTTTCTACTCTTGCACATGTTTAAAGTACCTACAGTATCAACTATCGTAATAAAAAGACTATCTAAAAAGAAGCAAAACCATTATCCGTTCTTAACAGACTAAAAGTTCTTTCCTATCACGTAAAAACCAGCTTGTGCACACTATTATATTTATATAAAGATAATCCGTGCTTTCTATTCTATATTAAAATAAATCTAAAAGAGAACTTGTCTTAAACATACCTACTAATTAATTCCAAGTTTTGATAAAAATAGATTCTAATAATTAAATTTTATATTTAACTATAATTAGTCCTAAAAATATTAAATATATCAATCTTGTAATCTCATAAATAGATAAAAGAACTTTTTTCCTTTATTATATTTGTAGTAAACATGCAAAATATATGTAGATGTTTTCATTCATTCGATAAGAAAAATCATTAATTAATTGAATTAATTTTTGTTTTATATAAATAAACAAAATACTATAATCTATCCGAACGATACATTATATTTTAATTGTATTGTCTCATTCAAACAAGAATGAATAAGTCAGGAACTATTTCTTTTTCTCTTCTTCCCCATGTTCCCATAGTGATCAAGCTTACCAGTATTGAGAAAACCCTTTTCTTTCTTGTTTTTCTTCTTTTTTTTCCCTCATACTGCTCTTCGATGTCAATAAAAAGTAGGCCCGCACAACGCATGCATACACAATTATTTTCCAAGCATTAGAATGTAACCATTAGATTCATAATGAATAATACAGCATTAGAAATTTGTCCTAGTATTTTACATTATCATAACGCAGTACATATATCTTATATTGTTTGGCGTTCATGTGGTCTTCTATGTATTATATTTGGTATCCCTGGTCATTTATTTTCAATTATAATTTTGTCAAATAAAAACAATCGAAAAGAACCAACATCATTATATTTTTTAGCTATTGCTTGTTGTGAATTAATTTTTCTACTTGGTTTGTATATTTTCTAATTGATTCTCTGAAGAAGAAAAAAACCATTAGTAATTTAAGTTGAGCATATATTAATTCCGATGAAATATTGTTTTTTGTTAATCGGAAATGGAAATGTCAGACAAAAGGTTAGCATTATTGAATAGTTCGCATGATACAATATAAAAATTAAATCAATAGAACTAATTATATAGATATAAAATAATAATTTATACTAAAATATTTACTCTTGAGATAAAACAGATGTCAATT